TGCCATTCGGCATTGTTGCATTCACAAATGCATCTTGAACATTGAGGGCTCATTCGGGAGGTGTCATTTAACAGAGACAGAGAGAGAGAGAGAGAGAGAGAGAGAGAGAGAGAGCGAGAGACAGACAGAGAAGCGGACAATGTTAAAGTTGTAATTATGGCTTAAATCCTAAACCATCCTGAACCCACAACCCTGAACCGAAGCCTTCACGCGCTTTTAACCTTTATGAGACCTACACATTCCCCGCCTCAACACAAACGAGGCCCAAGAGCAGTTTTTTGCAAAGATGGGGCAGCCCGGTGCAGCTTCTCGGCATGGGTGAGAGAGTGGAGGGATGCTTGGTGTTCGTGGTTTAGGTTTAGGGTTTCTGGGGCTAAGATTTAGGGTTTAGGGTTTAATTCGATTGTTCTGATATGTGTGCCGGCGCGAGGTCTGGAGAAGGCTCGCCTCACAGACTTTGTTTCGGAGGGAACTGAGGGGACCTATTGGCCGCAGATCTCAACGAGAGTGTCCACGTCAGTTGCACCGAACATACCTACTGGTTTCATGTCGATAGCAGCTTTCCGTGGCTGGGCTGCTGTGTTTTAGCTTGGGCTGCTGGGCTGTGTGTCGTGAAGTCGGTCAGGCCGCTCAAGATACTGTGCCAAGACACGAGGCCGGGATCCGTAGGGGTGCTTTCTCTTTTCGGACAGCTCCAATGGAATATGTCGATTACAACCCTTGAAGTGTGGCCGACGGTTCACTTGAAGCAAACAGCCACAGCGTACGGATGCAAGAGGCCTAAGACGTACACGCGCAGTCTCACAGACTCCACCTGAGAAGCAGGAGATGCACCCTGGAAAGACCGAGGAGCCGGTCAAGACGTTGCAGCAGGCGTCCTGCCGATCAGGGTTTCTGGGTCGGGATCTTAGGCAGAAAGAGATGTCCTTTCGTACCGGAGCCGTGGTCTTGGCTTGCCCTGGTCTGGGAACGTTGGATGCTGGTGCTGTGGAGTCCAGCCATCTGTGTACTGCGGATAGCAGCATAAAGCCCGAAACCCCACATTGACGGAGAATTGAATACAATGCAGCGCGACCTCGATGTGGGTCGTCGATTTGGCAGGACGAGATAGAGGTACGAACGGAGCCGATCGAGAGGAGTTCCGTGGAGGCCCTGTCCATCGGTTTGCGGTAACATCTCAATGCCAGCGAACCCCCAACCCTGAACTTATGAACTTGAGGTTCTGTGTCTGTCTGTGTATTGGAGTTGAGTGTGCGTGCAGCTGGCTTCTCTAGATCCGGAAATCTTCGAAGGGCCCTTGCTGGCCGTCACCCTGCGCATGTGCCTGTCTTTCCCTGCTGCGCCACCCCTTTCATTGGCATTTCCCGGAATGATTCCAGTTTAAACTTTTTCTTGAACCACCTCGTTTACACGACGTGCCGGCAGCCAGGCTCGCCTGACAGACTTTGTTTCGGCGGGCACCGAGGGCATCTACTTAACTAGAGATCTTAGGCACCGACACTTGGGGCCAGCTCTCAACGAGAGTTGCACCAAACATGCTGGGTTTCATGTCGACAGCACCTTTCCGTTGGAGGGCTACCTGTTAAGCCTTTGTGTGTCAGTTTGGGATTTTCGGGCTGTGTGTCGTGAAGTCGGCCAGGCCGCGCCAGACACCGTGCCAAAACACGAGGCCGGGATCCGCAAGGGTGCTTTCTCTTGTGTCTGGCAGCTCCAAACAAGTGTTCGGCCCACCTGTTCGAACTTTTGGTTGGGCTTGTTGGAGATCTCCGTTTCAAATATGTCGGTTACAACCCTTGAAGTGTGGCCGACAGTTCACTTGACGTAAACAGTTGTAAGCACAAGGATGCAACATGCCGAAAGCGTATACTCGCGGTCTCAAAGACTCCGCCTGAGAAGCAGGAGATAGGCCCTGGAACGGCCGGGGAGCCCCTCAAGACGTTGCAACAGGCCTCCTGCCAATCAGGGTTTCTGGGTCGAGAACTTAGGCAGAAAAAGACTTCCTTTCGTACCGGAGCCGTCGTCTTGGCTTGCCACGGTCTGGCAACTTCGGATGCTTCCAGTCATCTGTGTTTCGGATAGCAGCATATAGCCGGAAACCACGCATTGACGGAGAACTGAATGCGTTGTAGCGTGACCTCCATGTGGATCGATTTCGGAGGACGAGATGCAAAGACCAACAAAACAGATCGAGACGAGTTTTGTGGAGGCCTGGTCGATGGGAGTTCAAAGCGATGTCAGCGAACTCCCAACCTTCAACGACCGTAAACCCTTTACAAACCTGAAGCCATATGTATGTGTGTTGGAGTGGCATGTACATGCAGCGCACATCTCTACAGCCGGAAGCATTCGAGGGCCCCTTGCAAGCCGTGACCCTTCACCGTCACCTGTGCCTGCGTGTCCGTGGCGTGCTGCCTATTCCCGCTCTGCACGGTCCCGAGTGATTCTAGTTTGACAACCTCGCTTGAACTAAATGGTCCACGCGACGTGCCAGCAGCCGCGACAGACTGAACATGCAATCTACGCCAGGATCATGGCCGAGGCTTGCTGTGTATTGTCCGCTAGCAGAATGAAGCCGGAAGACTCACACTGACGGAGAATTGAATGCACTGTAGCACGATGTCGATGTGGGTCGATGTGGAAGGACGAGATGCAGACACCCACAGAACAGATCGAGACGGTTACCGTGCAGGCCGAGGCGTTTCCGGAGTTCAGAGCGATTGCAGCAGCATCTCATCGCTAACCGTTAGCGAACCCCCGCCGTAACGTCCTCTGTAAACCTGAAACCGCGTGTATGTTGGAGTTGAATGTACGTGCCGCGCACATCTCTACGGCCGGAATCTTTCGAAGGCCCCTTAAACCAAGTAGCCTATGGAGCCAAATCTCGAAGCAGCTATTCCCTTCCCTTCCCTGGGTAATCCCTGAAGCCGAACATTCTGGCAGAACCTCGAAGATGAAGAAGCCGAGCAGCGAGAGCCTGAAGAGAAGGCACGGTTGACATTGAATGCTATGCACGAAACCTCTCTAAAGCCCCGAAGTCAGTTCAATGTTACCAAAAGCCTTCTTCTTATGATCTATGGTGGTGACTACTTGAAGTCGTAATGCCCCGAACGCTTAGCCAAAAATCCGTGCTTGTCCGAGACATATGCTGGTTGACGTGGGAGGACGAGATGCGGCTCGAGACTGAACAGATGGGGACGAGTTCCGTGCAGGCCGGGTCGATCACAGAACGGCAGCAACATCCAACGCCAGCATGGCTGTTCGAGTTAAATGCAACTGCAAGCTTCGTAACAAATCGTTCAAGGCACACACAAACTTGAGCCAACGAGTCTATCCTCAAATCTCGAAACGGCTTCTTCCACCCGATGCGGTAAGCTCTGAAGCCTAAACCCTAGAGCGCCGAAGATCTCAAGACGAGGCACAGTTGAATCGCTTCAGCTGTGGGTTTACGTCTAACGCTACGGCACTATGCGCAAATCATCACATATAATGATCTGGTTGAGCGGTAATCTTCATTCGAGTTGAGAGCTGTTTTTGGGATTCTAGGCAAAGTGGTTCGGGATGCCGTGATTGAAAACGGCTTCGAGTCTATTTGCCGGTAGTGTTTTGGCAGTTCACGACCTCAAGGGTTTAGGTTCATGTGCGACCTCAGCAACAAATCCGAGGATTCAGCTGCAAACAGACAACCCCCAGCCGCACAATGAGTGACCAGCTCTCATACCCCAGCGCTCATCTGTCACACCCTAGCTAGTTTTGTCCTATACACGTCTACGGTGTCGCCAAAAGCAAAAGATGTAGCTATTCGTCCTTACAGGTGACCATCTCATGCATGAAACTTGTCTTCAGTCCGGAAGTCAGTGTCGTTGTTACCATAAGGCTTCTTCCAATAGTCTATGGTGGTGACTGGCAATACTTGGAGTCGTAAGATGTGCAAACCAAATCCTTATGCACTTGTTGGTGGTCTGAGTGAGACATATGTGAGTTGACACGGGAGGACAAGCTGCAGACCGAGACAGAACAGATCATGACGACTTCCCTGCAGGCCCGGTCAATCACCTGAGTGCAGGAAGATGCCATGTCAGCAGAAATACATAGCTTGAATGCATGTGCAAGCATCACAGCTGGGAAGTTGCAATTAAGCCTTCCAGGCACACAAAAAACCTCGAGCCGAACAGCTTAACCTCAAATCTCGACATGTCTTTTTCGCACCGGTAAGCCCTGAAGCTTCGACTCCTGTCAGGATTTCCTCGTTGAAGAAGCAGCGCAGCGAGGACGTCAAGAGGAGGCACCGTCGAATCGCGTCAGCTTCACTTGAACCCGAGCCTTGAATTCTTTCAGGTAGGGCTTGGGATTTCATTGCCATTCATCTACTCATCAGGAAACAGAGAAGCACACATCCATAATCTTTTGGGCGGGAGGGCCTTCCCTTGTTGGCTTGCTTGAAGAAGGGATTCCGGACATCCCAACCTCATGATTTTTGTTTGCGTGCGTCTTTGGATTCCTAAGACAAGGTGACAGGATCGGGCTGGAGGCAAAACAGGTGTGTCTCAGATGTTGCGGATGCCAGTCGCTTCAGTGCAGCTTGGTTCAGTTTGTTCGGGTTCTAGGTGTAGTGTTTCTGGGTGTTGAGAGCCGTTTCGAATTCTGTTTGCCGAGAGCGTTTCAGCAGCTCACCCCTTTCCGGGTTCAGGTTCATGTGAGACCATGAAGCCTCAGCGACACATCCGAGAGCCTGAACTGCAAACCAACATCCCAGAGCCACACCAGGACGAGCTCGGGTACCCCAGTTCAGCCCTGAATGCAACGTCCAAGCCTGCAAGACATCATCTTTTTATTGTCCGGTACAGATTACACACTGTCAACTCCTGTACCCAACGCACGCAAAGTCGGAGTCGCCAAAAACATAAGATGTAGCCATGGATGACCATCTCATGCATGAAACTGGTCTTCAACCCGGAAGTCAGGTCGTTGCTATCATAAGTCTTCTTCCAACTGACCATGCTGAGTAGTGACTGGCAATGCTTGGAGTCTTTAAGACCAGGACCCTCAAACCAAATCCTGAACCTCCACGCGGCCTTGCATTTGCTGCCGGTCTGAGACATATGTGGGTTGACGTGGGAGGACGAGATGCGGATCGAGACAGAACAGACCGTGATGAGTTCCGTGCAGGCCCGGTGAATCACCTGAGCGTGGGAAGATGCCATGTTAGCAGAAACAAATGGCTATTCGACTTGAATGCAGGTGCAAGCATCGCAGCTGAGAAGTTGCAAGTAGGCATTCCAGGCACACAAAAACCTTCAGCCAAACCAGCTTAACCTCAAGTCTCGAAATGGCTGTTTCGCCCCGATCCCTAAGCCAAACCAGCTTAACCTCAAATCTCGACATGGCTTTTTCGCCCCGATAAGCCCTGAAGCTTCAACAAACTGGCAGGATTTCCTTGATGAAGAAGCAGCGCAGCGAGGACGTCAAGAGGAGGCACGGTTGACTCACTTCAGCTCTACTTGAACCCGAGCCTTGAAATTCTTTCAGGCAGGGCTTGGGATTTCATGGCTGTTCAGCTAACAAAGAAGCACACATCCATAATCTTTTTGGCGGGAGGGCCTTCCCTTGTTGGCTTGCTTGAAGAAGGGATTCCGGACATCCCAACGTCGTGATTCTTGTTTGGGTGCTTCTTTGGATTCCAAGGACAAGGTGTCAACTCCTGTACCCAACGCACGCGAAGTCGGAGTCGCCAAAAGCATAAGATGTAGCCATGGATGACCGTCTCATGCATGAAACTGGTGTTCAACCCGGAAGTCAGGTCTTTGCTATCATAAGTCTTCTTCCAACTGACCATCGTGGGATATTGGAGGACGAGATGCGGATCCAGAGAGAACAGACCGTGACGAGTTCCGTGCAGGCCCGGTCAATCACATGAGTGTGGGAAGATGCCATGTCAGCAGAAACAAATGGCTCTTCGACTTGAATTCACGTGCAAGTACCGCAGCTTGAAAGTTGCAATTAAGCCAAACCAGCTTACCCTCAAACCTCTAAAGGGCTGTTTCGCCCCGATCCTTGCGCAAAACCAGCTCAAGCTCAAATCTCGACATGGCTTTTTCGCTCCGATAAGCCCTGAAGCTTCAACTCCTGGCAGGAGAGCCTCGATGACGAAGCAGAGCAGCGAGGACATCAAGAGGAGGCACGGGTGACTCACTTCAGCTCTACCGTCAACTTGAAACCCGAAGCTTGAAATTCTTAGAGTGCTGGATTGGAAGGCCGTTCCAACGGGATGAGCCTGTCTGTCTAGCAGAGTCTAGCAGAGCTTTCGGATGTCGGGTGTGGGTGTTACGGCTAAGGGTTGAGCCATCGAATGCTCAGCTCAGCTTTAGTTCAAGTTTTGTTCAGGTGCTGTTTTGCGCCCGCAACATCGCAGGTGCACATCGGTGTCAACGACGAGCTGCCAGAAGGCGCCTGCTCAAGTGGAAAGGGCCGGAAAGTGGTTTCCACGACATATGCACCCACTTCGTTTGCTTTTCAATGTTGCAGACCATTTTGCAGGGGGCTGAGGAGATCAGAACAGCCGCGTTCACCCTGCAGACTAAATGGTTACACGTGCCTGCACCCGGCAAAGAGCCGCCTTTATCCCCGTGACAGGAGCGATGATGTCCTCCTCGTCGGGGCCATTGCAGGAAACTCTGTACCTGATTCTGAAGGACAGGGACGCAGTGGTGTCAGCGCTGTGTTTTCTGGAAGGTGCAATTGCTCTTCATGGCTGCCCCTCCGCCCCAGAAGCCCCACACTACCACAAAACTCTAAACCCTCTAAACACTAAGCCGTCATTCCCGAAGGATTTGCACAGTGTTTAAAATCTTGACCAGACCAGGGCATGCTTGCTTCCGCGTTGCACCTACTACAGCCACCAAGCCCTTCAGGAGGTTGAGGGTTTAGAGCTCTTGCCTTCAGCGTTCCATTGATCACTGTGCACCCACAAGCCCGTGGCCCGCTCTGTCCAGGAGGAGGCTGCCATCACTGATTCTGCCAACATTGCCCAGAGCTACCACGGCCACATCCGCGAGAACGCGAGCTGCTGCTGGGTGTCTTTTCCAGGCAAATACGCCGCAGGCCGGCAGACTCCCAGTCGTCTGCATCTGCTATCGGAATCCAACGTTGCATCGGCGAAAGGAATCAGAAGAGGGTCTTCAGAAGAGGGTGGGAGTACGTCGGACTTTGTAGTGCTATCCTCCATCCCACAGAGCTGCCAGCGAGTGCAGGTTGGGAAGCCTTGGTCAAGGAGCACCACGCAGACTCCGTGGCCTGCGTCTTTCTTTGCACTCCCGAAGATGGCCCGGGGCCTCAGGGATTAGGTCGTGCCCTTCTTGCGCTTTTGAGTCCAGAAGCTGAGGAGACCTTTCACAGCTTCACCTCAGAAGACAGCAAGTAAAGGGGGTCTTGGATTGCAGGCTTCGGGTGTCAGCAGTGCTTTGAAGAGACGTGGCTAACACCGCTTCAAGAAAACCTCAGACAGAGCACGCAGCAGCGTAGAGTATGCGTCATTGGATCGCCGAAAGCTTTAAAAAAAACATTCCGTGAAGCACCCGTGGCCTGCCCTGTGCTTAGAAGTTGCGTCATAACCACTGTTTTAGTCTTGTCCTACGAGAATGGGTCTCCGCACTTTACACTCCATTGTTTGGTGGGCACAGGAAATCGCGCGCAGATGTAGATGCTCGCATTCCAGCATCCGAAGCTTTCGGCTGCTGCGTAGGCTCATATTGTCGTGTTGGTTAGCCCAGACTCACACAACCTACTTGTCGTTTCAAGTGGTTGCACGTCGATGGACTGGAATGTTTGGGTTGACCGGCAGTACGTCTGTTTGTGATCATGGGCTTCGCATGGGTATATGCGTGCACCATTACCTTCGGCTGTAGTTGGTTGTACTGTGATAGAATGCTACATCTCATCGCGCATCATCGTATAGGATGACATTACATGGTCATAGGCTTGCCGCATTCACGATTGATCCTGGTTGGTTGAAGCTCGAGAAAATGCATCTTTCGCCACGTCCATAGTACATCAGTCTGATGCTCATATGCTTCGTGCACGGGTGCATGCAGACGCACGCATCAAGCTTCTAGATTCTATAGACTTCACGGACACATATGTGAGACACGTGATTGTCATATGCGGTGTACCCGATGAGCCGATCAGGCTTTGAAATCAGGTGTTTCGCGTCCTTGCGTGACAGCCGAGATGTCATGTTGTGTCGTGACTTATCACTCTGCATGGTCATCGTCAATCGGCTCAATGTGTTGTTTTCTGGGGTCTCCCCCATTCCTGTGCCTTTTCCAGAATCGTGCTTGACGCTCTCTAGGTCTCGGCCGGCACTCGGAGGATCCGCAGAACCGAGGGAAATGCCACTGCCAGAGGATCCCGCGGGGTGGTCAAAGTGTGCTGTAGGATGAGGGATCCGCCTTCCGGAAGATGTTCCATGAGGATGCACTTGGGATGAAGACCTGGAGCATGTCGGACGGTGGGATTAGAGGATCTTCAAATCTCAGAGGAACACCTCCCCAGCCCACCAGAATTCTTACTCAACATCCACTGCAAGGATCTACGGAGTTCGCGACTTCCGATCCTTCGGATATCTCATGGAATTGCAGCCGCCCTACACGCCTGAGCGACTCCAGAGGTGCTTCGGTAACCTTGGGGGAGCCTCTCTCTGCGCCTCAGAGCGACTGCCAAGATTTCTGTCTTAGTTCGTAACAACGAAGATCATGTCGTATCATGTCCTTCGAGGTACTCTGCAGGCAGCAGAATGAGTGTAGTGACATAGTACACGACTGTAAGTAAGAAGACATTGAAAGCCAGACACTTGCGGATCTGCTGCCAGACCAAGCCGGCCAGCCGGGTCGCACTAGTGTGGTAGGGTTGGAGGACTCATTGTGCAAGGTTTGGGAGTCGACAGCCGTTGCAGGCACGAGGAGATGGCGGCTGCGATGAACGCAGTGCTCGTGCACAAAGATGCATCTCAGTAGCAAGCAAGCTCTTTCTAGCGCTACTGTGCTCCACATATCTCTACATGCTGCGCAACAACAAGGGTTACTGCCGAGGCGCCGCAGTCCACGAAGGAGGAAGCCCTTAAGCAGGCGGAAGAACGATGGCAGGAGTGCGGGCGTGTTGCCTCCTGGGGGTGTGCCTGGTACCCCAAGTGGCTGGACAGGGTCAGCGAGGCTGTGGCCAAGGGGCAACGGCTCAAAGCGGTCTTCTTTCCACGGCAGGTGGGGCAAGGTAAGCTGTCCATGGAAGAGCTCTCTCACGAGACGGTCGATCTTTGGGACAACATTGGATGTGGTGGCTCGCAGAAGTGTGAACTCGCAACGCTCGACAGCCTGCGAAAGCAGGAAGGCAGCAAGTGGGACTACGAGGAGGTGGACGTAGGCGACTTCCTTGGAAGCGAGTTCGAGGCCGGCTGTCCGGTGTATGCCAAGACGCTAGGCAAGGGTGGTGAGGAATGGCGGAGGGCTGTGTTGGTGCGGCAGAAGACACGCGGTACCATAGGTGGCAAGATCTCGTGGTTGGTGAGATGTGAGACGACACAGGAGACGGATGCCCGGCAAAGGGTCTCTCTGAAACCTGTCCGAAGCTTCCTAAACTTCTGGAACCCCTTCCTGACGTAAACTAGAGACTCGGCTGCAGGGCTCGAGCTGTTAGAGACCCTGCAGGAGACCTTCGAAGCTAGCGATCTTCGCCATGCGAGCGTGTCTATCGAGCAGATCCAGCAAGCCTGTGGTCCCGCCCTCAATGCGCCGGGAATCAGCTATGAGTTCGCCCCTGCCCTCGTGCCTCGCAGCCTCTAAAGCCATACCGACATGCCCTGCTTTTGCTCGCTACTTCCTCCGCTGCATGACCGGTGTCTGCAGACGTCCATGCAAGCAAACGTAGCACACACCACATAGATGCATGATCAAATGTACCACATGCTGCACGAATGCAGCACACGTGTACTATATATATATATATACACACACACACATATATGTACATATTTTTGACGCATACGCATACACACATACGTACATACATTACATTACATTACATTACATTACATTACATTACATTACATTACATTATATTACATTACATTACGTTACATTGCATTACGTTACATTGCATTACGTTACATTGCATTACGTTACA